GCTGTCAGTTATTTCTGGTGTGGAATGGCTGTCACGCTTTTTGCTTTGATGTAACAATTCTCAGATCCACTCTCGTGTTCAACAAGCTGTATTTCCTGCTGCACTTGGGATACAAGCACTTTTCCCATCATCGTGGGAGGACACTATCTCACTTCCAGCTGCACTAGGAAGACATATGCACTCTCTGATGTAACTTGAGAGCCTTGAATCATCTACCAGTACTGTTTATTAACGAATTATCACGACTTCTAATTTTTCTCTATTTATTTGTGTCCCCAGTGGAAGATGACGTGCTATTTGAAGAATGAATAGTATGATGCTTTTGAAAGAGGCAAACATCACCCTCAACAGCTTAAGTGGAAAAACACTGTGGGCTGCAGGGCTGTAGTTTCTGCTTCACTCTGCTTGTGGGACTATCTGAATATGATTCTTCAAGGGTTTATGACATGAGATTTCTTAATATGTGCAATCACCAAGGACAAGAAAGTGGAAATATATTCAGCTCTGAGGCATTTAAATAACACAGTTTCAATGGCCATCTCAGAAGTGCATAGGAAGAGGCATATCTTTAAAATGACAGCTGAGTGTCTAGAAAAGATGGGCACTCTAATGGTGTCTAATTGATTTATGCCATGTTGCTGACAGTAAAGACAATGAAATGACAATGACATTCTATGACTGTCATTTCACTGAACAAAAATTATATGGGAGAAAGTTTCATCATTTCAGTATCATGGAGAACATCATGGAGAGAAAAGAGATCACATGGACAACTCAAGGTCCCAGGGAACCCAAGGTGGACATTTTAAAGAAAAGGGGGGGGGAGGGGAATAAATTAAAAAACCCACATACCCAAAATGCAGGAAAAATAGATTGTATGTAAAGCTAGACTGTTTAAAAAGGGACATTCTATTTAGGACAACAGATAATTCCTCATTGATTGTCCTGATCCAAACCTTACTAGTCAACAGAAAAAAAATCCCAAGAGCTTAATACATGACAGTAATTCAACAACAAAAAAACTAATCTCAAAAACATCAGTAACAATATCCCTCCATCAGGGCTCATTGTGTAAGGAGGGCTTTGAGGCACCTGAAAATACCTGAGCATACGCTTGATGAGGTAAAAGCCTTCAGTATAATTTTACAGTTTGGCTTTTATTGACACACTATGCATCACAGTATTTATATTGGCAGAGACTAGAGAGCTAGAAGGAGAGGCAAATGTTCTAGCCATCTAATAAAAGAGATTGTTTCTCTAGTTGAATTTCAGTGCAAACTATGTGTGCATACCTACAAGTTTACATAGGAATGGAAAGAATTTAAAAGCTACAGCATGTTAAATTTGCTCTAATTTATCCTCAGAAGGAAACAGTGTCAGGTGCTTGGAGGAACGCACAGAAATAGTAGGGAGAGCAGCTATAAAGTCAGTTAGGGAAGTGTTTTTGCTATTAGATGTTGCTTCTATCTAAAACAAAAGGATGAATGGTTACAGAGAATAGCAGATGGACAAATTATCAGACAGGTAAACAAAGGACTCATGGGTGAAAGAGTCTGCCTTTTAATCTCCTCACCTGTGTGTACACAAATCTTTCCATTGCCATTCCTCAAAGTGAATAGCTAGATTTAGTAACAGCGTTCAAAATTAACAGGATCAGGCCCTGATATGAACATATTCAGAGTCATATAAGGTTTGGGAGAGTTGGCCACTGGGGAAGCTGAGTAGAGGGGCTGCCATATCCACTAGGCATGGCCACTGCCATGCTGAAAAGGGAACCTTTAAATAGACATACAAGATTGGTACTGTATTCTAAATCTGCACAGAAAATGGAGAGATTCTATTAGCCTGCATAAAATAGCTAACAATATACCAAAGTGTCCTACTGCCTATTTGTTATTCAATGTAAATTTAAATTACTTAATGTTTGCTAAGTGTTATTAAGATGAAAAGATAAGTTTCAAGTAATATAGTGTACTGTGTGATATTGCTATTATATTAATTAGAAAAAATAATTAGCTTGACATATTAAGATACCGATGTGAGACAGGCCTACTGAGGTTCAACTATCACCAACACACACGACTGAAACACAAACAATGAGAATACTTCAGTATGCTAAAAGCTGATGGCTATTATAGCTTAATTGACCAAGAGTAATGTTTTCAAAGCCAGCTAAGGGATTTTTGAGAATGTTACTTGGGCTCTTGAGCAACACCCGTATTTTATTCTTATTTTTTCTAAGTGTTTTGCATTTGCATATTATATCCTATATCAATCACATGGACTTAACACACACTCATTTGTTCATCCTTAAAGGACTAACAACCTTTCATAGAATAGGATCAACTTGAATTTTTTGCTGACTGGGAATAACTGATGACTATAAGATAGTATATACCTCTTTTTTTAATCCAGAATGAGCACTGAATAAACTGAAAGCTCAGTAGACAAGTCAATGCTATGCTGCTGATGTCTTGTTACAGTCTGGTGTTAGGCAGCTAATGATGCAAAGAAAAGTTATTATCAAATACAAGGATGAGAGTCAAAAGACTTATTACTGAATCACCAGCAGAGAGCTCCAGTATAGCCTTCAGAGTGGAAAGCTGCAGGCCCTAGCCTCTGCATCACAGATGAAGTGCCTTGGTCAAGAAATTAAGGCACAGCATTACAAGCCACACCATGTAGCAGAGAATCATCATGTGGTATGATGGTAACCACCAGCTTTCAGGCCAAATACTAAAGCAATACGAGTCATACAATGCAAAAAGTGGAAGTGTGCAGCACTCCCACTCCTGAACAGAAGCTGTTTAATCCCAAAGCTGGCCAAAAGGCTTTCTATCATTGAAACATAATTTGAAATTGCCTGGATATAATACAGATTCCTTCACCACCCTACAAGGCAGTTCTCCACTCTCACTGTTCAGTAATAACTTCAGACTTTTCAGTAGCTGATAGAAAAATTTCCATGCACAGAAAAAAACAGGAAAACCCATTACATTTAACATTACTACTCAACAAGATTTCTAGAGAGCTTCAATAGGACAAAGACTACACGTCCTTCTGCTTTTTAAGTTATCTAACACAATTCTGCCAGAAATAAATAGTAATAAAAAACCTAAATCTTCTTGCTGAATTTTGACAGTCCCTCAAATTTATTTGTAATATTTAGTAAGGCTGAATGTTTTTAATGTAATTGGCTAGAATAATTGTACTATATTCCAAATACATTGCACACAAATTGAAGTTCCCCAACTAGTAACTACTGTGGTATATGTCTTTTCACAATGGTATTTGTTTAACAACAGAACATGATCTTCTAACTGCTACTGACATATCTATACATAGAAATAGATAGGTTGAATCAGTCTTACCTTTTTATAGGCAATCCAGTCAAACACCCTGTCAATGTCTGTGGCTTGCTGCACCTCCTGGGATACTGGATGTGAACTGGCCAAACCATCCAGCAACATCACTTCATGTAGAACATCTGTCAGAAATCTCTGTTTTTCCTGAAATACAGCATATGCAGCAATATCACAGACAAATATACATTTAGAACAATACAAAAATTATGCAGAGTTATCAGAGGCAGCCTCTATACGACCGTTGACTAAAATCAGATCTTCTGGTTTGAATGTAAGCCACCATGACTTCCTACAATCTTTAACAAGTACTATATGGAATGGAAAGTAACTAATTCTAGCATCAGGAATTCCTCTGACTGGAGAAGTCTTGCAGTAATGAAACTTGACTGAAATTAAAGACTATTAAAATAATTAAGATGTATCTGTAGGTGCAGACTGCAATTCTGATTAAGACTATTCATTCACAGTTACAAGGGCTGGGTTGAGAGGCAAAATGGCATAGTTTTCTAACACAAAAATACATGGATGCAACCAATCATAGAGCTTGTTGCATACACAGGTATAAAAATTTCTGTCAGAGATGGGTAAATACAATTAGTACCACTTTATTTAGTGAGATTTAAGTCACTTGGCCCTTTGGACCAAGTTCACTAGGTATGTCAATGTGAGACTGGGCAATGAACAGAACCCACAGCAGTGCCACAGAAGACACTCACACTGTCTTTCAGAATTCTGATACAGAAATCCTTTATCCTAAAGAGCTTGCCTGCTCAACAAATTTTGTAACTTCCACCTGTAGGAAACTATTATCTCTCTTTACAAGTGAGTCAACAGCTGTAGATGTAAGTTAAATGACATAGTCATTACAGCGGAGGCAGGTGTAAACCCAAACAATATCCAACATAGTAATTTGTTTTTATACCTTCTATAAATATGGACTGCAGAGGACATAAAAATTGCTGCATATTTACTCTGGCAGCAGCATTAATTAAATGTTCATGTATACTCTATGAACTGTGCTGCACTCACTTTTACAGTGCAACTAGATGGGACTTTCCAGCTGAAAAATTACATTCCTTAAAAACTTTTCATACTACATTCATATAGATGTCTCTACTCCAAAAGACTGTGTCAGGAAAGACTTGTTTTTTCAAGTCACAGATACATGCAAAGAGTGAAATAAAAGTTATGGAAGGTTTAAATAAGCTTTTTTCACTTATAATATAATGTTATAATATAAAGAAACTCTGGGAAAGCTGTGTTTTCCTTCAAAAGCCACCTTGATGTCCACAGATAAAAAACCCCACACAGTTACATAATAAATTCCATGTTTAATTTCTTGGGTGGCAAGGTTTTGGTATCCATGGTTAATTTAAATTATATTTATAAGACAGCCAAAAAGCTGTTCCAGTGCTGATCCATCTGGAAATAAACCTTTATGTTAAAATTCATTAGAGCACAATAAATGTACCTTAAGCTGATTATATATTCAGGCAATTAAAAACACTGGATGCAGGAAAGCCAATTACCCAACACACTCTTCATGTTCTCAGCTGGCTGCATGAGGTAAAGTTTGTGAAGGGAAAAGTAATGTCTTGTGGATACTGTTGTTCATTTCCAAATTTTATCAGACATATGCAGTCAGTAACTGCCCCTTTCTTTATAGAGAAGGAAAAAAGAAAAGGTGTAGGGA